TAGTTTCTGGTAGCTTTCTTGATTACTTGGCAAAGGTTCCTCCTATTAGAGTATATCTGTAAAGCAGCTTAGAGAGACTTACAGTTTTTGTATCTTTTTTTTTTTTTTTTTTTTTTTTAAAAAAAAGGTTTTTTCCTCATTCCTTTATTTTATGTTAATATATGATTTACAATTTCTTATAAATAATACATTGATCTTTTTGTGGAAGAGGAAATAGAGCTAAAGCTATACTAATTTACTCCAGATCTAAATTTTAGCTAGATAGATCACGACCTCTAGGCTATGTTATTTATTTGAATCAGGAAGTGATTGTGTTCTATATAGTTAGTTAATTATTTATTGTAATTTAGTTGTTATTTAGAAATGTTATTAAGGTTATTGTTATTATGATTTTGTGCTATTGTGAGTGTTTGGTCTAGGTTTGAATAGTTTTGTATAGGTGATCTTTGTGTTGTATTATTATGATTGTATATACTTATTCTTAATAGAACCCATATTTGATTGTAAAATTTTTTTATTATGAAGTGGTGGAGCTTAGTTGTGTTGTTAGTTGTTGATGTATTTTGGCTTATCAGAAATAGAGTATCTATAGTTATGATCCTAATAGGAATTTGTTTGTTTAGGTATTTGTTTATAAAGTTGGCTGTAAAACGTTGTAGGTATTGTTGCCTTGCTATGGATCTATTTCTTTTATAACATCTCGTATAATTTGCTAAACGGTTGTTGTGTTTGTGTTACAGATCAACCAGTGTACTGAGTCTTCTATATTGTTGTAATATCATAAGCATGTTGCTAAGTTGTGTTTGTAGGGTGTCTGATATGCAGATTAAGAAGTATTGGTAGTTCATTAGTTAATAACTTAATCTTGAAAAATCTGATTTTTGCTTTTGTTGAGCAAGTTGTTCTGGCTAGTGGTTTATCTTCAAAGTTTATGCATTCGTAGGTTAGCTATCAATTTATATCGAGATTGTGTTTGGACTATGAATGAATATGTTTTTGATGTATCTAGAAGTTTATTCTCTTTGCTCTGTATATATACTTTATTGTTCTTTTTATTGGATGCAATATATTGCAAAATATTAAATGTGGAGTAAAAGTGTTAGATAATATCTTTGATAGATTAAATTCAGTCAAGGTTAGTAGAAGAGTAGTTATTTGTTTTGCTATTGTTGGTTTAATTAGTGCTCCTACTGAACCGAACTGAACCGAACTTCCATCAAGTTCAAGTTTGGTCTGAAAATCAAACTGAACCCGAACCCAAACAAGATTGAAAATATGTTCTGGTTCAGATTCAGTCTGATTTTTTTTATTGTATTCGGTTCAGTTCGAGTTCGGTCCGAAAGTTTATGAACATGTTCGAGTTTGATAGGATTTCTAGTCAACTAAATATTTTAAATTATTTAATTATTTATTTCATTTTATCTTAGAATCGTTAACAATATACTGGTAATACAGTAAACTTTAATTCCTAAAATGGCGAATGAAAGTAAATAGTAGAACTATAAATAACATAATATGCAAACAAACATATGAAACTTTGTCTTGAAAAAGACCTTTACAGAACATGATGATTACTATAGTAATCACTATGTTCTTAAAGTCTTTTTCAAAACAATGTTTAAATAGTAGATGGACTTTACACATTATTTATTAGGTAAGTAAACATTATAGTTTTTAAAGTTGAATTTTGTTGTTACAAATTTCTAACTTTTCCTTCAATGGCCCTTGCATCCATGACTTGAAGCATTGTGCTACTCTTATAGTTTTAGGTGCCAAACTGGATTTCTTGTTTGTGATCATATTTCTGCCTAAGAAAAAGATGCATTTAGAAGTGACAGAAGATGCTAGGATGGCCAAGTAGTCTTTAGCTATACACGCAAGGTGGGGAAATTGTGTTTGGTGTGCCTAAATGCATAGTAATATTTAATAAACAGAATATATATGATTTTTGCTTACAAAATGGCTCTTCGGGACTATGTTCACATAGTCCTGGAGGGTTATTTTGTTAGCAAAAATCACATATATTACTATCATTACCTTCCATCATACCAAATATTTAAAATACTATTGGTAGGATATATAGAATTTTGCTACCAAATAGCCCTTCAGAACTATATTTATATAGTTCTAAAGGGCCATTTTGTTAGCAAAAATTTATATATTACTATCATTACCTTCCACTATGCTATTACATCTATTTCTTTATTTGCAAGTTTCTCTAAGATATAGTATTTAACTTCATCAAAAACTTCATCGTCCTCTTCAAAGTCTGCATCCCAGATTGATCATGTAGTTAATCCCATAGTATTGTTGGTATGCAAGTTGTTATTAGATATAATAGTTGGTATATACTCTGTTTCAAAAAGATTACGCATTCTAAAAGACAAATTTGTTATAAATAGAAGATAAATTAAAATAAATTAATTAATTAAATTAACTGTTATAAATAATTAAATTAAATAAAAAATAATAATAAATTAAATTAAAAATAAATTAAATTTGTGCTAACAAAATGGCCCTTTAGGACTAGTCCTGAAGAGTCATTTTGTTAGCAAAAATCTCAATTAAATAATAATAAATTAAAGAATAAGAATAAAAATAAATTAACTAAATAAATTAAAAATTAAATTAATTAAAAATAAATTAAAAATTAAAAAAATAAATACAGTAATAAAAATAAAATAAAAATATAAAGTTTAAAAAAAAGACAAAAATAATTTTAAAAAATAAATTAAAAATAATACAGTACTTTTGTTCTATCAATTTTATCATCTAGGAATTCTTTCTTAATAAAATAATGAAATTTCCTTCTTGGATCTAATGCTGTACATAACATTACAATAGTATTAGTTTTAGAATAATACTGAACTAATTTTTCTCTTGCTACTGTAGCCATAGCGAATAGTGATAAACTAACAATTTAATTTGTTTATAGGTAAGTAAAAATCTAAAGTAGAATTTTTATTAGCAAAAATTCTAAGTTATAAATTTAAAATTAAATATTTAGCTAACTTGCTCTCTAATTCTACCACATCCTCAACATGGTTAAGAATAATATTAAAGAGGAGAATAATCCAGTAAGCTGTACTATCTGAACTAGACGATATTTTGTCTGTAAGATCCTTAAATGGTTCAAGAAATTTGGTGATTTTCTCTAATATGGACTATTGATTATATAAAATAGCATGGTTATGAAGATTATCATGAGAGCTAGTAAGACTATTAAGTGCCTATAGATTTATTAGAATTTATATCTCTAAACATCTAACTATATGGGATTTTTGCTAACAAAATGACTCTTCAGAACTATATAAACATAGTTCCAAAAGATCATTTTGTTAGCAAAAATCTTATATGAATACTACCAAATTAAACCTGGAACTAAATATATAATAATTATATATTCGGTTCCAGGTTTTAATTTGGTAGCACTCTTGAATTAAAACACAAAACTACTGGTTTAAAATATAACCTATTTTTTATCATGTCATAAGTGAAGTTCCACCTAGTAGAACAATCCAGAATAGGTTTATTAAACTTAATATGACATGCATTACAAGTGTTCTCGAGGAGCTCAAAACATTGGGGTAAAGTGCGAATAGCAGAGTTAAGTTCTCGAATCTTCAATTATTCTTTATTAGTATAATATAAAAAAATAATAATGATAATAATGATACAGTATAAAGTTTATACTAATACCTTACAAACAACATCCTCTATTTTTTCAAGAGCTGCTTGCGCAGCCAAATTAAGAATATGATTAAAGCACCGGAATCAAAGGTGTTCTGAGTTCTATTTGATGTTTTCCTCTTCTCTTAACTTTGTTGCTAATTCATGCACAAAAGTGCCATTATTACCAGCATTGTTTAGAGTGATAGCAAGAAGCTGTTGGATAAAAAAAAGGTATGTATTTTATTGTATTTTATTATAAGTATATATATATATATATATATATATATATTTTTTTTTTATATATAAGAGTTAAAATTCTAAATACTTAAATTCTATAAAAAGCTACGTAATAGTGTCGTCAATTGGACTAACTGAACCTAGCAATCAGACTAATTGAACAGTCCAATTAGTCTAATTGCTAGGTATATTGGTCCAATTGCTACTACTAGTAAGTAACTTTGAAGTAATCCTATAATCCTTTAAAACTTTAAAGAATCCATTTGAAAGTTTATCCCATCATGTTTTTTGCTCATTAAACTGAAGTCAACTAGCATTTTTCATAGGGTCTAATTTTCATCTATATAGTAAGCTGTAGCAGAAACAAATGCCTTATTATTAGAGAATATCCAGATGTCCGATATAAAAAAAATTTTAAAATTAATAGTGGCAAGGTATGTCTAAGTATCAGTAAAATGAAGTAAATAAATAATATTTTAAATTAAGTAAAAAAAAAACAGTTAAATTTAGGATTCCATGAATTCAAAATCTACTTAAGTAGATTTTGAATTCAAAATCAACTTAAGTTTAATAATTATTTTAAATATAGATTAATAATATTTTGCAAGAACATAGTTTACTTTTCTAAATAGCACCTTCAGATATCTAAAGTTGCTAAAGTTAATATATAGAAGCGATTGTAGTATCAAATACATATTTTAAACTATTGTAATATTTAATACTTGTCTTTTTATTTATTTTTAAATTCTAATTTTTTATTTAAATTTAAGATTAAAAATCTACTTAAGCAGATTTAGAATTCACTTAAGTGGATTTAGAATTCACTTAAGTGAATTCTGAATTCACTTAAGTGAATTCAGAATCCACTTAAGTAAATTCTGAATCTATAGAACCCCAAATTCACCTATACTATATTATAAGATAACATAAATTCTTGCCTTCAATTCCCATTTATCTAAACTATAAAGCGATATAATTGTATCCTTTATTGCATCGGCTTTGACTAACTGCACAGTTGGATTCAAATATTGTACAATTTCTATCAACTCAGGGTCTTCGATTATTGTAAATAGGCATTGACAGTTGATGGTCTAGATGGCAAACTTATCATGAAGTTTCACATTATCAATATTAGCGAATGACATAGTGGAGGTTTCTTGAGGATTCTAAAATAAAACTTTTAAATTAGTTCATATTTGAGAATTAAGAAATTTAACTTATTATGGTTCTGGAAGTTTCAGAGCATGATACTATTAAACATAATGCTATGCCAGGCACAAGCACTATGTTTAATAGTATTATGCCTGACACTTCCAGAACCCTAAATTCACCCTTCTAAATATTTCTTCAATGTTACCATATTCATCTTGTGTTTTTTTTTTTTTCAATATTCTGCTGTTTTGGTATACTCTATCTGGTAAGAACTCTCCAAATGGTGCTACAAGGGTTTGGTTGTTCCTTTCTTCCCACAAGAAAACTTCTTGTGTTGACACTTTGGTACCATACATTTGGCTGTTTTTCGTTCTTTTTTCCATTCAAGTTTTTTTAAAAAATCCTACATCTTATTAACATTACTTCGCTTGTTATCATTATCATGATCATCATCATTATCATTATCATGGTCATTATCATGGTCATTATTTTGGTCGTTATTGTGGTCGTTATTGTAGTCGTTATATTGGTCATTATCAAATTCCTCCAAATGCATAAACAAAGAACTTATTTTTATTTTAAAAATAATTTTTGTATTGATAATCTTACCTTATATATATGCTACAGCTGATAGACTTTCAAATTAGTATTAGACTATGCATAATCTGTCATATGTACAAGCACAGTTTATGGATTAGATTTATAAAAAATAAATTAATAAAAAAAATATATTTTTTTTAAAACTTAGGCAGTCTTGCCAATACTTTATTAGATATTAACTATATAAAAATTGTTATATAATATTTACTCTAATTTAATAAGTTTGATCTCATCCAAATACTATACAAACACCCAAATGCGACCTGCCGTACTAATATATAGCTTATACCAGTAGACTATGTCAGATAGCCTAAGTTTTATACCAAAAGGGTTTTACCCTACTTAGTATAAAGTTTTCTATTGCCTTGTTATACAAGACCAGAGTTTCTTCTTTTCTTTCCTTTTTCTGGTTAAAAATTGGTATTGTTAGAGTTGGTTTGTTTTTAGCTTCATGTAGTTTTCTAGTCTTTGTTGAAATTCTCTTTCTTTTGAGCTGTCTAATGATACTATTTTCCTTTTCCTATTTCTGCATCTTTTCATATCTTGTTTTCCAGATTAATTCGTAAAACATATTCACATAAGGAAAATCGTGTTCTCGGCTAAGTGTCATGCAACTCTTTTAGACTTGCCGTGAGTTGTTAGTCTATGAATCTTGTCTTTCCTAACCAGACCTTTAATTATTTCGGTTCTAATCTTATATTTATCTTTAGTATTTGTTCCAAAGATGTTTTTAACTAGGGCTTCTTGTAAGCTGAACTTGATCTTTTCTTTTTTGAGCCTGGTTATAAGTGTCTTCTGTGCCGTTTCTTCTGCTAAAAGCCAGCTTTCTTTGAATCTATCACACCTTGCAATAAAAAAAATATTAAATTAAATAAATAAATAAAAAATTTTAAATAAAAAATTTTAAATAAAAAAAAAAAAAAAAAAAACCTATTTGAACTCGAACAAGTTCGTGAACTTCGAACTGAACTTGAACCGAACATAACTTCATGTTCGAGTCTGGTTTGGGTTCAGACTTCAACCGTTTGGGTTCAGAATTTGCACAAATGTTATAGTTCGGGTTCAGTTCGAGTTCGGAAGTTCGACCAAACCTGAACAACCCGAACCAAACCTAGGAGCCCTAGTAAATAGTATTTGGTTTAGTACTTTATACTTAGATATTTTTGTTCTTTTATTCATTTATGAAACCTCATGTTTCTTTCTACTTATACTTCTTTACTGATTTGCTAGTCTCAAGATTGTTTTCTTTTTCTATATAATTTCTTTAATCCATATCATAAATTATATTAGTAATTTTATTTACCACTTTTCTTACTAGTTGGTCTACTATGTAGTTCTTTTATACTAAATTTACTTTGATACTTTTGGTTAGTTCAGGCTTAAAAGAAACTATACACTTGCTATTTTAATCTCTATTGGCAAGTCTATCTACTTTTTCATTTTCTACTACCTACTATGAGCTTTGATTTTTGTAAAACTAGCTCTAATTTTTTTGATACTAATATATTTACATATTACTTCAAGTATGATTTTATTACTTAATCTAAGCCTTTCTTTTGTATTTAACTCTTTTTATTTTGTTTAATAAGCCAGATTGCATTTGTACTATTTGTGTTTATCTTAATTTTGCTTTTCTTTAGAATAATAAGGAGAGTTGCAATAGCTCCAAACTCTGCTCTTGAAGATAATAGCTATTTTTGCAGAGCACTATTAAATTCAAGTCTTAAAATATTACTTACTTTTTTATCAGGATCAGAATATACTACCCAACCTATGCCTATGCAGTTATCAGCTTTTGGTATAGTTTTGGCAACTTGAGAGACCATGACCCAGAACTTTACTTCTTTTATCTTTTTACTGAAATATTTTGTACTACTTCTTGTTTAATGTATTTATCAATAAATACATTCTCAAATGCTTCTACTACTACCTCTTAAATGATCTTTTTATAATTATTTATCTCTTTAGTTTTTGTCTAAGATATAAAACAATCCAAAATTGTTTATTGAAATAGACTGTAAATCTATAAATATAGAGAATCAATTTATACATATATTTACTTATATAATTAATGAATAGAAACCAATAATGGTTTCAAATATATAGCCTTAAGTAAATATGTCTGCATCTGCCCCGTGGATACTAGAAAAAAAAATAATAGCTAGTTTGATATATAAACTGGCCGCTAATATAACTAAGATATTCAAATTTACATATACAGTATATCTTTTTATATTTAAGCGATTAAATGATTGACCTTGATAATGAGAACAGGTGTTCAAATTATGGATTATAGTTAACTCTGGCTTATGTTTATTGATAGCAGAAAATTATAGAATAAAAACCTATTACATAATATATAGTTGACTAAAAAATAATAAATGGTAAGTTCTTATCATTCAGAATGAAAGGAAGAATCTACGATCTTCTCCAAAGTCACTTTTACGTTTTGCTATATTTGTTAATATCCAGGCCTTTCCAATTGGATGTAATCGAGGATTAGGGATTGAAGCTTGAATGGAGGGTTGATCCATGAAGGCGTTAGGGAAAAGATTTCCAATGTTGCCTCGCACTGTATAAAGCTCGGTATTGGTGGTAAAGTGAAAAATGGCACGTGAGTTTTCATCTCTACGCTCATTCTGAAGGCCATTTGTCGCGAAACTATCCATAATATTGTAATATGTGGGCCAACCATGTAAATTGATCTAATTCTGATTTGGAACAATTATAAGAACTGGATCAAGAATTTTTATATTTGCAGGTTTCGGCAGAGAAAACTAGACATCGTTCGGGCGGGCATTTAAAATTGCCATAGCAGGCTTTAGTTGATGCTTTAAATGAAAATTGTAAAAAATAACTCCTGTACTGTTTTGGAGTTGAGAAACAATTTGTTTAACTTTTTCTTCTTTTCAAGAGTTAGAGCTTAAATATCTTACTAACTTCAAAGGTCTGGCAAGTTGCCTCTCATACTTCGAAATTTGCTCGTTAGAAGCTTTTGAAAAAATAATTTTAAGTGCCTCACGAGTAGATGGAAAGTCAGAGTATTCGGACATTCTATAAATTATAACGTGGATATTAGTATTCCTCTGTTAACTAAAATGGCCTGATAGCATCACACTTACTCTTTGTTTGATAAATTTATTGAACAAAGTGTAATTACTGTGAAAAATATTAGGTTATATAATGACACATGAAATTTAAATTTTAATTATCGATAACTCTTACCTTTCCACAACAGAGAGATACAAAATATAATAGCTACAAACGAGGCAAGAAATGCGAAAGGGAGAGCCTAAAGAATGTAAGAAAATGAGTGGAAATAGTAAGACAACAAAATTTACAAAGACGCGCTATACAGACCAGCCAACCAAAAAATGCACACACTGGAGGTATTGTGGAATAAATGAATCAAACTAGAGGTGTAAAAAATGACTGCATATTGATGGATTCAGGAAGTGATTATATGGTATCAGGTAGAGTTGCAAATTTACATAATACGATAATAACACATGATTTTGACAAGTGAGCATATCGGGGATCCGCAAATATTATTTTTCGTGGGAAAGCACTATTGACCAATCAAATAACATTATTTTCGTGTAACAGTAAAAGATATCACGTGATGAATTATCTAATATTTCGATAACGAATAGATTAGATCAGCCAATCCAAAATCTACTTTGACACTTTGACAGCGACTTCCATAGTAAAATGGTTTCGTCCTTTGCCAGAGGATTTGTCTTTCGTCAGATGGCATTTGACTTTTACCCGGGTCTCGTCATTCGTCATTCGCCAGTTTTAAGTTTCGTTTTTCGTCTTCACGAAAAAAAGATTTCGACTTACACCCATGAACCGAAACATTTAGACGATGGTTTTTTGCCAAAAAAACTCAAAAAGAAGAAGAAGGTGCCACCACCACCTCCGCCCATTATTAATATACCTGGATTTGTGCGTATAAGTGGTGCAAGACATAATATGGTTGTATATTTTGAGGAGCTGCGTCGTGACAAATCAAGAAGAAAGAGGCATGGTTCCTTAGTAGTTCATGGTGCAAAATACATTAAAGATCTGATAGCAAAGGGACATCATATAAAAAGCATTGGAATTACGGCACCAGAAGATTTAAAGTCTGTTAATGATATAGCTGGTCCATCTAAAGAGGTTTTTCAAAACATTAATCAATTCCCAGCAGATCGTTATTATGTAACGAGTGTCGAATGGACACGGAAAATACTTGGCGGGGAAGCACGCGTTGATAATAGAGAAATATGGGCTGAACTTCCGTTTCCAAACATTTCATTTCCAAAAAATATTTCCAAATTATTGGTATTAGACCATGTAATTGATGGTGTAAATATGGGAATGCTAATTCGTGCTGCTGATGCCTTGCGCTGGGATGCTAGTTTTATTATTGCCGGTACTGTTGATCTTTTTGACGAACAAGTAATTCGAACATCTCGATGTACATCTGTAACGTGGCCGTCAAAAACAGGATTTTGGCATGATTTATATGCACTGACAAAGGAGCATGATTTAACACTGGTCATAGCGGATGCGATGCCGCATAATAGATCAATCCAAAGCCAGAACAATATTTGTTTTTGGAATCCGACCACACAAGAAATTTATAATGAGATACCGTCTTCTCGTATTGCACTTGTGTTGGGTAGTAAGATGCATGGAGTTACTTATCGAGATGCAGGTGAAGATATTATACGTGTATCGATTCCTATGCTAAACAACGTAAATTCGTTAAACGTCGCGATGGCCGGAAATATACTTATGTACGAAATAAATCGTCTAATAAATACTAATAAAAGTACTGATAAAAAAATGACAACAAATAATAATTAAATATTATATTCTATTATGTGGTACAAGTATTGTTATTATTATTATTATGAAATTTCGATATCCATCATTAAAATGTTGAGTAATGCATTATGACACAAATCTATTAAAATCTATTGCAGTTTTATCTTTCAATTCACTATCATCTTCATTTTCTTTGTTTTCCGAATCATAAAATGAAAAACCACTATCAGAATAGCCCTGATTATCACTTTTCCGGACCGCTTGAACTAGTGATTGAGGAATCTCGCCTACAATCGTAATAAAAAAACGTTTAACTGTTAGGAAACTTTAATATACGAGTCAACTTGATTAATAAAGACTAACCTAAATCATCATTGTTCAAATTTTTCTGCCGAAAGAAAAAAAGATATGGAGTATCAGATTTGTAATCTTCACCCTCATCTTTGATTTTCGACCATGTAGAAGTTATCACAAAGTTATCGTTTAAATGATACCAATTACCGTCCTCTATAAGAGAAAAGTAATATGTTGAGAGATCATCTTTAAATCGGATCATAATTAAAATTAACATACCTTCATCTTTTGCGTAAGTATAGTAATGTCCATATTCAGCAGATGTCCCAGAATGTACAACAAATGCAGACAAATCATATTCCACTTTGTCTCCAATAATCTCTTCGAAGTCGCTATTGTATACGATATTCGAATCACTGTTCATTTCACTATCCATGTCACTATCTGTATCATAGCAAATACTACCATTGCCATTTGTTTTTAAATCAGCTGTTCCGTTCATTTGATGTATTTCGGCATTAGTGTAATTTGACTCATTTTTTGAACTACGTTCAAGCGTGTCTGGAACATACGTTAAAGAAAGAGTATCTTGAGGCGTAACCTAACGTTTAACATTTAACCGTAGCTATCAGTTATACCGTCAATAATAATGACATTACAGGGAGAAACCTGAGTCAAGTGGTTACCTTATTGACGCAGACCACTATCTAAATATAATATCCTAATAGAATTGACCTGCATCGAAAGGTAACTAAAAAAAAAACTTAGGTTTCACCCCTTAATATATTAATAAAACTTACAGGAGTCATGATTTTTATTCTTCTTGCATATCTCTTGTCATATTCAAATCGATTAAGCGATAAGATCAAATAACGCGGAGGGACAATTATTTGCGTTGTCTACTCATATAATTATCTATTAATACGAAATGACCTTGAAGGCTATATATTCTAATAAAAATATCACATACCTTAACTGCATCTTGTAACCCGTTGCATTTGTCACAAAAATATTGATTATCTTCATTTAACTCTTCTGGAGTAAAAAACTCAAATAACATGTCATCAAGTGAAAGTTTATCGACTAATAATAACCAATGTAGTTAAAAAATAAATTAAATATTAATATTGTGATTAATGGGATCAACTCACCTTCATTTTCAGCTTTGAGTGACAATGTAAGATCATGAAAATCTTCCTTTCAAATGTTAAACGTAGACATTAATCAAAATTTAGTAGTATAATTTCGTAAATCAATCAATTTCTTATTATTACCTTTGTTCTTGATTTATTACCACATGATAAACATTTTATTGTATTTTCCAATGTACCACAGAATGCAGAAATAGGCATTTCATTATAATTAATTCGAGGTGCAGATTGATTTTCCATGTCAAGTCGCGGTCTTTTGTTAGATACAGACTGATTAGACTCTTCCTCGATTTGACTAAATAGAATTCTGCAATTACATATTGTTTTAATTAAATGTGAATTTTGTACTTAAGACAAAAAATAATGCAAATAAATACAATTATATAACTTGCTTCAAAAATTCATGGCAATCTTGTTGGCGACCATTATTAATCCAGCGAGGGAACGTCTAATAACAACAAATAAATTTTTATTATGTTTGACGATAACAAAAATCTCATATTACTGATAAAATTCTAACCTCTAATAAAGCTGAAGGCGAAAAATATGATCTTGTTGAGAAAGCCATAAAACCGAAACATGTTTTGAGTTGATGTAGTGTTGAAGTTTTGGATTTATTACTAAATTAAAAAGATACTTTAGATAATACGTTTCCTAATAAATTTAATCAATAAAAAACAAGTGCTTTACCTAGTCGCAC